GCTTGGGTGTGGGAATGATTGTGAGGATGCCGCAGGATTGTGCAGTGTTTCATTCATACAGTCATAATGGGCTGGAACGGATTCAATGGCACCTAACAACACATAAATAAATAAATAAATAAATACATACATACATACATACATACATAAATGTGTGTGTGTGTGTGTGTGTGTGTGTGTGTAGAGAGAGAGAGAGAGAGAGAGAGAGAGAGAGAGAGAGTATGTATGGGGGAGGTGTGGCCTGGCTTTTGTAACTAGCTTTCAAGAACAAATTCATGTGTGTCCTCCTATTCTGTTTTGAAATAGTTTGAATAGAATTAGGGTCAGCTCTTCTCTAAATATTTGGTAGAGCTCTTCAGTAAGACATCTGGGTTAGGGTTTATTTTTGGTTGGGAGTTTTCTTAATGACCTCTTCAACTTCTTCTGTTATGAGTCTGCTTGCATTTCTGCCTCCCTCTGTACTCATTTAGGTAGTACAGTTTCTAGAAATGTGTCCATTGTTTCTAGGCTTTCAAACTTGTTGGGGCACAATTCTTCATAGTATTCTTCTTTTATTTAATTTGGTTGTGTTGTAATGGCTCTCATTTAATTTCTTATTTGTGCTATTTACTTCTTCTCCCTCTTTTTTTTGGTTAATTGGATTGGTGACTTGTTGATTTTATTAATCCTCTAAAGAACCAAGTATGAGTCTTGATTCTTTCTTTTATTTTTAGTTTCCTATTTCAAGCTGTAATTCCTTCCCCGACCTTACAGGCCAATCGCCACTCTGCATTCTCTATTTCCTATCCCAACTTGATTATTGTTTTCCATAGCACCTATAACTTCCTAACATACTATGTGATCTATTTCTTTTTATCTGTTTCCTCCACTTACAATGCTAGCTCTGCAGGAGTTAGCATTAACCTGCTTTACATTCAGTGTCCAGATGAGTGCCTGGCACAAAGTAGGTGCTATATAAATACTTGCTAGATGAGTGCATTTACCTCTACAGTGGTAAAACCATACAACACACAATTTGTCTTTTGTTTTAAAAAGTCTCATTCCTTGCCTCGTTACATTTTTTATATTAAAATTGTATTCAAATATATTCAAAATATGGACTGTGGATCTCTATGTAATTAATAAATTCTATTTTTGCTAGCCAATTCCCTTGAAGTATCTTACCACAAAATATGTCCCTTGAGATACTTAATTTATCACAGCTCTTCTGTTTACATTCAGCAATGAAGTACAACACTGATGTTCGGTTAAAAATCTGAAATAGAGTTCTTATTTGAGGTTATATTTCTATGCAAACTAAAAAAAAAACACAGATAGGAACTTTAATAACCACAGTCTATGCCTTATCTACCAGAAGAAGTTTAAAAATTCCTAAAAGGTACTAATCATGACCTAATTTTAAATAATGACTCCGTAATAGACCAAATATACCCATAATTTAAAAGCGCACTTTGTAATCCTGGGTCAAATAGGTTGTTTTATATAAATTTTCTGCTTCTATTTCTATACATACAGAAAATATCATAATGGTATTAACCATTCACCAGTTTTTCTCTTTCCTTATTTTGCTTGATGACAACATCTATTTTTTATACACTCAGAAATAATTCAGGTTCATTTTTTCAAACTGTGAACAGCTAACTCCTTATCTAGCTGAAGCCTTATCTAGCTGAAGGGTATTAGGCTGGAAGTAAAGAAGAGAGGAAACTAGGGTATAAAGAACTCCTTCATTCCTTCATTTACCAAGTGCCTATTATATATTCAGGACCAGACTTGATAGAACTCACTAATAGAAATACTCAGGTCATAAATCTCGTCTGCCTTATCTCTTCTACATAAAAGGATATCATATCCACTTTTCTAGTATAATCACAGATAAAGAAACACTGGTAAATTTTAACAACAATAAAGTTAAGGTTGTGAGCTCATGAAATCATCGTACACTCAATAGCATCTCACAAGACAATTGATCACCTCCTCTTTATACATTTGATAACTCTAACACCCCCTAAAACATAGATGTGGTTTGTTAAAAATAGTTGTTTTAACATGTTGAGTCTTTCATTGTATAAAATCTTTTAATAAGAACAATTTGAAAGACTGAAAACCAAAATATTCCACCAGCAGTGGCATTCAACAATTTGACATTTTTCTTTTAAAAAAAACCTACCCAAGTACTCCCTCAATGCAAGTACACTTTGTTCTATTAAACTGGCATTCCATGATGCTCACCTTCCCAACACAACCGTTGAAGACAAAGCGGGTGCATAAGCAAATGTGGTGAAGAAAGCTGATGGTGCCCAGCTATCAAAAGATGTAGCGTCTGGGGTCTTAAAGGCTTGAAAGTAAACATGCAGCCATCTAGCTGAGAAGCAACAAAGGCCACATGGAAGAAGCACACCAGCCTGTGTGATCACGAGGTGATGATAGGCTCAGGTATCAGGCATCAAAGAACAAAAAATCATATCATTGTGAATGAGGGGGGGAGTGCAGAATGGGGACCCAATGCCCATCTGTAGGCAACTGGACATCCCCTTACAGAAGGGTTGCAGGAAGGAGATGAGCCAGTCAGGGTACAGTATAGCATTGATGAAACATACAACTTTCCTCAGTTCTTTAATGCTTCTACCCCTTCCACCACTATCATGACCCCAATTCTACCTTACAAATCTGGCTAGACCAGAGGATGTACAGATCAGAGCTGGAAACACAGGGAACCCAGGACAGATAAACCTCTCAGGACCAATAATGAGAGTAGAGATACCAGGAGGGGAAGGAGAAGGTGGGGAACCGAACACAATGATCTACATATAACCCCCTCCCTGGGGGACGGACAATAGAAAAGTGGGTGAAGAGACATTAGACAGTGTAAGACAGGAAAAAATAATAATTTATAAATTATCAAGGGTTCGGGAGGGAAGGGGCGGGAGGGAGGGGCGGAAATGAGAAGCTGATACCGAGGGCTTTAAGTAGAAAGAAAATGTTTTGAAAATGATGAAGGCAACAAATGTACAAATGTGCTTGACACAATGGATGTATGTATGGATTGTGATAAGTGTTGTATGATCCCCCAATAAAATAAAATAAAACATTTTTTGGCATATAATTCACATACCATACAATTCAACACTCAATCATTAAGTAGAGTTGTACAATCATCACAATAATCAATTTTAGAACAATTATTCTTCTTTGTACTCATTGCTATTAGCTCTCTATTTCTCCTAACATGCCCTGCCATATCCCCATGAAACCATTAATCCAGTTGTTGTTTCTACACTTACCTATCCTAGAGTTCATATACAGAAACACACACACACACACAAGCATACCAACAAAAAAAAGTTCAATTCTCAACAAGGTCTTCTTCAAGTACTCTTTAATCCAACTTTTAGTTCTAGAATATTTCATCATAGGTATCCAACAAATTAATAAAATTTCTGTCTTTAAAATTTTTCCTCTCATATGATTTAGATACTAAAAATTATCTTGGAGATCATTTAGTACAATATCTTAATTTTATAGACAGGAAGACTAAGGTCCAAAGAATTCGGGCGATTTACTGCTCTTTCTCATGTTTTCCAATGCTCCTCTGCAGTGCCTCAGCATTCCAGCTGATAAAGACATAACAAGCTTTTAAACGGAATGACATCTTCACTGAGCAGCTAAAGTCACTAAGTCATTTGAGTCCTAGAGTTGAGGGGTCTCTGAAGTGATAGAATTACAACCCCCCTAAAAATGACTCAGTGCTCTGTGTGTCATCCCTGAAAACAGGCATTCCTTTATGCAAGCACGTGAAAAGAAAGAATATTCCGGTTTTTCATGACCCTGACTTTGAAGAAGAACTTTCTTATTTTGACCCGAAACTGTCTCATGTAAGTTCCTTTTATGAAGATCGACAAAAGAAACCTAAGTCCTTTTCTGAGAGGTAGCTCCCAAAGACATGAGGATAATTATCACAATTATCACGAGCTGAAATGGACTCAGTTTGATTCAGTCATTACCGTAAGACTAGTTAACCAGGCCCCTCATCACCCTGGTAAATTCTAAATCATGTCTGCTTTTCCTAACGCGCAACACTCAGAACTGACTGGGCCTGGGCAGAATGTAAACGTAGCTCTCTTGTTTTGATTTCTCTATTTCTATTTACTTATCTTATGAATAAACCACATTTTGACAGCTTTCTACACTGTTTAAACAGAGTCATTCTAAAACTATAAGGTGAAGAGCTTGAGTCTTTTCTACTGGGTAAGCATTGGACTGCTCACCACAAGGTCACGGTCAAACCCACCTGCTGCTGCATGGGAGAAAGATGAGGCTGTCCCTACACAAGGTTACTATTATTTGGACTCAACAGAGTGGCAGTGATTTCACTTTTTATCCTACAAACAAAAGGCGGTATTTTAGAAATCAAGTGTCTCCTTTTAACGTTTTCCCTTATCAGCCATATGTCCACGGCATTACTGATTTTGTCAGTCACCTCTTGCTAGACAACATTGAAGATTCCCGTCAATGGATCAAAATTAACTCTTGTTTCTTCATCTGAATTTGTTAGCAGATCTGAAATGAGTATTCTACTTGGGGACAGCAAATCTTCAGTACTATCAAAGCCTGCCATTTTTCCTTAAAGCACTGAAAACCCATAATTTTATGTAGAATATATAGATGTATGCAATCTAAGTCTGCTTTTTTAACCAAGATTATCACTTTAGTCTCAAGGATTTTTTTTAATACTTAAAACTTTATAGAAAAAAATTTAAAGTTCCATAGATATAACCAAGTCATAAATTCCAAGGGGCTTTTGGACAGCTATTTAAAAAAAAATCACTAACAGAAAATTTTCACTTCCTACTTGATTAAAAAAAAAAGGCACACACATTTTTGAGGCTAACTGATCATTAGTACACTCAGTCACAGGATGACAGAAAAAAGAAGTCACCACCATAAAAGGATGTCTGCATAACCTCTCTTCAAACAACACACCAAGATTAGCCTCCTTCAGCTTGGGCAAACGCTGGCTGCTGCACACAGAGGACCAAACAGGCAATTGATATGTAAGTACCAGACAGCTTGCTTTTTCAACAAGTTGTATTGAGTAACAGAGAACTCAGAAGCCTAACTTAAGGTATAAAGGAAAGGAAAATGATCTATTCAATAGCAAATTATAACATTTCTAACAAAAAAAGTTTGCCATTAACATGGTTTAGACTCGCTGGTAACTGGCAGTTCTAATTAGCTACTATTAAGTTAAGTGGAAAGTAAAATATCATGCCAGAAATTTCCTTGCCAAAAAAACAGGGTTCTCTTTGTGTTTCTATGTGAATTCCCTAAAAGCAGAACAAGAGTATCATGTATGTAGCAAATAATGTATTTCAAGGTTCTTTATTATAAAGTTAATATATATAAGGACTCTTGTTTTTTGAAGGGAAAGGAACAAAGGTACTTTAGAATGAAGTAAATAAATCTCTATTGTTTGGTTTACCCTTATTTGATGATCGGTAAAACTAAATATTTCTCCATCTGTGTTTTCTAGAACTTTAATGTGCTTAAAACATAAAAACTAAAAGCTGTGAATTCTATCCAGTAATTTATGTTCAGGTTGAGAATACAGGTTAAGAGAAACTTATCAAAACACAAGCTGTGGGGCTTCCTTTAAATGAAGCTTTGTTGGGGTGAAGAGGAGGGTCCCTTCAAGTACAATACAGTGCAGTGGTTAGGAACATGGCCTCATGGAATTAGGTTTAGATAATACAGCTAAGTGCTTTTAATATTGCTTCTTATACTAAGTATTAAAAAAATTGTCTATCATTATTCTCCCCTTTGTCCATTAAATTATCAGAGCCTAAATCCAATATATAACAGTTTCTTTGCCATATCATATCTTGTCTATGAAAATTACTTTTCTTGAACTTATTTGCAAAACTTCATTTGATGGAATATTTTACCTGAAGACTGTTGAGTCTTTGGGCAATTTTACTTCTAATTGTTATTGCTTGTACTAAATATTTGCTACTACTTTATCACGTGTTTTCTCTGGGAGTTCATTGTACTTTGTAGACACAAGACTGTAAAACTATCCAAAAAAACCCTTAGAATTTATGATTTGGTTTTATCTATGGAACTTTTAATTTTTTCTATAGTTTTAAATATAAAAAAAATTCCTTGAGACTAAAGATATAATCTTGGTTAAAAAAGCTGACTCAATTGCATACCTTTACATATTCTATATAAAATTATGGGTTTTTAAGGTTTTAAGGGAAAATGGCAGCCTTTGATAGTAGTAGAAATTTGCTGTCCCCAAGTAGAATATTCATTTTAGAGCTGCTAACAAGGTCAGATGAAGACACAGGGCACTGTGGACACAGGCATTTTCACTGACATGCTCACCTACGCATTACACGAGTGGCGATCAGTGTGTCACCCTGTGGCGTGGCTTGGGTGTTCCTGTGATGCTGAAGGCTATTCCACCGGCCTCTCAAATACCAGCAGGGCCACCACTGTGGATGAGTGTCAGAGGAGTTTCCAGGCCAAGACAGAATAGGACGAAAGGTCTGATGATCTGCTCTGAAAACCAGTCATTGACAGCCCTATGATTCTGTGCAATATGCTACTCTGAAAACAGTTTGGAAAGTGCTCAAAATGCACACTCTGGAAAATCCACCAATATAAACTCAGAGAATGCATGCAAACATGCTCTGTAGATTGTTCAAGTTTAGCAAAGAGCCTTATGATACCTTGGAAATCCAGCAGAGAAGAATAAAAACATTTAGTAAAATTCCTGTAAGTATCTATGAAGCCCCGGTGGTGTAGTGGTTATGTATTGGGCTGCGATCCACATGGTCGGCAATCCAAAACCACCAGCAGCTCCACAGGAGAGACTGGGCTCTCTACTCCAATAAACAGTTACAGTCTCGGAAACTCATGGAGGGTGGGGTGGGGGTGGGTCGCTATGAGTAAGCATTCACTGGATGGCAGTGAGCTGAGTGAGTAAAAACAATTTAGTACAAAAGATATTTTAAGTATTCACCTTCGTTTAGCTGAAATTCCAGTCTAAATGGTTTATTATTAAAATATTGCTAGACAAAGCAAAGCCTACTTCATTTTTTTTACAAAATCTTTCCTTGACTATAAAGTAGGCTACACACAAATGTTTTATTTAAATCATTGCCTCCCCCTCCCTCCTCCTCTTCTCAGCTATATGCTAAGGTTTGGGGATGTCTTCCATTCTTGCTTCTCTTCTAACAATAACATCAGATTTTGTAGGGGAAAAAAACAAGGGAAGAAACTTATCATCGTTTTCTAGATTTCTAAGCCAAACTGTCTGGGTTTGAGTCCAGACTGTGACATTTAACAGCTGTATCTTCAGGAAAGCCTGTTAAGTACTCTGTGGCTCCATTCTCCCCGTGGTAAATGGAGGTGTTTAAATAGTGATTTGGGTAATAGTTTACCTTTCTCTTCAACAATTCATACCCATGTTGCTTGGTGGCAGTGACTGTAACACTCTGCCCCAGGGTTCTTCCCACTTCTTCCTTGTGTTTGGCATTTCCTTTCCTCTTCCTCTGCTATCCCTTCTGGGCTCCAGCACTTTATCCCTGGGCAAATGCTGCCCTTTGCTCTCCATAGTTGATTGTTCTAATGCTTGTGTATTCCTTTATAGGCCTGTCCACGGTTTGCCTGAGGCAAACGGGTTTTTGAGTTTTGTCACAATCCAATAAGTAGATGAATACATGTAGACTGCCCAGGGACGTGTCTGGCAGACAGTCCATGCTCAGTAACAGTATGAATCATGGGTTTATGTGGTCTAGTCAAGAATCTTTGAAGACCATAAGGCTGGGATTTGACTAGTCTATAACTATGGGCATTTACAGAGAATCAATCATGAATCAATTTGACATATAAGAAATTAACACAATGCCCACTCACAGGCTATGGGGAAACAAGATGGAAGGGAGGAATCAATTGTATACCAAGGGGCTTAAAAAAACACCACCCTTCCCTCCAGAAGAATTCACTTCAGAGGATAGCACTAAAGCTACAGTTCAAGGAGAGGGACTTGTCTGATCAGAGCACACAGGAGCCAATGAGGGGGGAAGGGGAGAAAAAAAAAAAAGAGTGAAGCACATCCTAGCTCACCAAGCCCTGAGGACAATGTTTCTGCTCAGAGCAGCAATGCAGAGAGACGACCACAGGGCCGGCCCCACCAAGGGACACAGAATTCCTCACTGACCCATAGCACTTTGGGGGACAACACTGGAGACACACGGTGGGAATTGTGCCCACCCTGAGCCCACTATGCTGAAGCCAGCCACTGGGGGCATGCAGCAGAGCAACGGGGGGAGCAGAGCAATGAAGTTCCCAGGGATAGATTTGGGACCAGGGCATGGCACCCCATCAGACTTGACTGGAAAGCACTCGTAAAGGACAACAAATAGACCTTAAACTATTTATTGGGTTTTGTTGTTGTTGTAGCTATTGTTTTATTTTCTATTATTGTTTCGTTGTACTCAGTCTTGTGATGGTGCATATTGTGGTTGCTGCATGTCTACCTAGAAAGGACAGGCGGGATAAACAAACTGGAAGAGAGAACAACGGGATGACAGTTCTGGGGGGACATGGGAGAGGGGGAGGTGGGAGAAAGGAAGTAGGTGTTAACAAACTCAGGGACAAGGGAACAACAAGTGACCCAAAATAAGTGGCAAGGAGGGTATAGGAGGTCTGGCAGGGCTGAATCAAGGACAATGTAACCAAGAGGAATTCCTGAAACCCAAATGAAGGCTGAACATGATAGTGGGACAAGAGGAAAGTACAAAGAAATAGAGGA